CGTGACTGCAATAATATACATACTATCACACTCACAAAGAACAATGGTGTGACTGCAATAATATACATACTATCACACTCACAAAGAACAATGGTGTGACTTCAATAATATACATACTATCACACTCACAAAGAACAATGGTGTGACTTCATATACATACTATCACACTCACAAAGAACAATGATGTGACTTCATATACATACTATCACACTCACAAAGAACAATGGTGTGACTTCAATAATATACATACTATCACACTCACAAAGAACAATGGTGTGACTTCATATACATACTATCACACTCACAAAGAACAATGGTGTGACTGCAATAATATACATACTATCACACTCACAAAGAACAATGGTGTGACTTCATATACATACTATCACACTCACAAAGAACAATGGTGTGACTGCAATAATATACATACTATCACACTCAAAATATAGAGTGAAGTTCAGTACTGTTCTAACCGTGACGGTGATTTAATCAGAATCAAAACTTGGCTTTACGATTTTATTAGTAACGCACCTAATTAACTGATATACTTATTATGTTTCCTTCTAGAATTCTGATAATTTGGTATGCGCGTTTTGGGATAACACTCTCAATGGTGAGTTAGTTAGTAATTTATTCTCGCCAACATCGCATAGAAACATTCACTTTCAGGCAACACTAAAGTACTGATACAAACACCAATATCATATTGTATATGGCTGTTGACATGAGTCGACTTTTCACCAAGCTGTTATGTTAAAAAACATAACTCAATTAATTCATACGTCATATATTAATATTTAGATCAACTCCTCTGATGTCATAATTGAACATCAGTGAAGGCAAAAATGTTGCATGTAGTACAAAGTACAGAATCGTTCAGTACATATATATATATATGTGTCAATTTCAACCTTAAAATGCGAAAATAATCTCACGCGTAATTGCTGGTTGCTTTAGAAGAAGCAGGTGGGTGGAACCCTGAAGGATGTAGCGCAGTGTCAGAAACCGAAACCGAACTGGTGTGTGAATGCAACCATCTGACATTGTTTACCGGGATACCAGGATCCGGGTCGGCGGCAGGACCTAGTGGATACATCAGTTTATTTGTAATGCTTGGCAGCACACTGCTCTTTGCAACATTGGTATAGTTTAGTGCAGGTAAGAAAAGTCCTTTCACAATGACGTCAGCAATTTGATTAACCAATGGTATCTCCAAAAACGGATTCAACATACCAT